TTGTGGAGCTGAGGAATCATCACAGGTGAGCTGTTCTGAATTGAATGAATTTATTTGTTCGGGACAGTTTGCAATTAAAACATAATTTGATGCATTGCACCAGATTTAGCCTAAGGCTAATTTACATCTGTAGTCCCATCAAACAGTAAAAACAAAACAACATCCAACAGTAAAATAAAAATAATATAAAATAAATCATTTTGCAATTAAAAAATACCCCCATCCCGCTCTCCAAGCATAATTAAAAAGTTATATCACTAAACATCCAATGCAAAATTTGTGATTGCAGTAGTAGTAAATAGATTTGAGATAATCCACATGATCACCCCAGAAACCAAATAACTGCAGGTCTCCCACATCCCCACCTAAAAAACATCGGACACATTGCACCCAATCCAGCGACAGGGCAATATGGCATCTACATTTCCACCAAACCACAAACATCACCAATAAGCAATAAAAACATTTCTAAATACTAAACAAACAGCAAGGATGTCCATCTGTTTGTTTGACCTTGTTGCTGCTCTGGTGTCCATCTGCGCTCATATCATTGGACGAGAGGCGGGTCACACCCTGAACATGTTTCCAGTTTTATCACAGGGACACAGATTCATTCACTCTCTCACCCCACGGCAGGTTCAGAGTCGCGGGGGGAGGAACCAGACGCACGCATGAAGAGAACATGTAAACTCAAGACACAAAGGCCCCGGCTGGGAGCTGCAGCACGCTGCCTGACCGTGCAGCCTAAGTTAAGTGGATTTAACATTCACAGAGTCTGACCTGTTACTGAAAAGGGTCAGTAGATGATTCCTAAATATTCTCATCCATGACGATCATCGTGAACAGCTCTGGCTGAAAGAAGCAACCATCCAAATCTGAACAAATGACAGAAAAACGACCAAAACGGAACAACACTTTAGCTTTTCCATGTCAGTTGCTTTTACAAACTGCACCCTTTATTCTAAGTTTATTATTTTATTTTACTGGATGTGATCAACTTTTTTAAAAAAAATAAATTGATCAAACTGACTGAATATAGAGGCTAAGAGAACAAAGGTGTAACTTTAGGTCTACAATTGGGCTGGGGGGGGGGGTGCTTTAAAAGTCCTGCAAGTCATTTTCAGCAGTTATGCTTAACTGTACATGTATGACATCATACATTTTTAAATCAGGTCAAAAACAACAAGAGAGTTGCATCTGCGTGTTTAGCCAGTGAATTTCTATTGTGTTTGAGCAAATTCTGTGATTTTATTGGGGGTCAAAACCCACCTAACCCCCCTGCAAATTATGCCTATGTAAGACAACTGTTTGAACTCTCAAAAAAGCGTAGTTTTCTACAAAAAGAAAAACTGAATTGAATAGGATGTTTCAGTGATGCAACGTGTTTATAAGTTCCCTTTAATATTCTGCATTTCAACATTTTCATGTCATGAACAGAAACCTAATAAAATCGAACAGCTGAGTTTAGATTCTGCAAAACTCTTATCTTTTTATTTCTTTAAATCAGAGTTTCAACAAAAGGCCAGAGGCAGCAGTCTTCAGCGTGTCGACTCATCTAGTGGAAGTGATTTTAATTGGTTTGTCACAAGGAGGGAACAGCGGGACGTTTACCTCTGAACAGGACAACCTTTGATCTGAAGGGAGACAGAAGTAAAGTCTTGCTCCTGGGTTCGCCTCAGACTCAGACTCAGTGTCAGTGAGCTGCTCTGCATCGTCTCCGTCCTCCACACAGAGGTACTGCTCTGTTTCAACTCATTATTTGTACAACACTTTAGCTTGCTGCTTTTTTCATTCATTCACCTTTTCTGTACTGATAAATGCTTTTGTCAGTTAATGTTTAAAAATAAGTTTTTAACTGTTTTTCTTTGAGTCTTGTTAGCTACAGTTTAATTTATTTGAGCTAAATGCAACACTAAAAGTATTCTTATTGTGAAATTATTGTATGTTTTAAAAAATGCTGTTTTTATTTAATGCTACGTTCACAGAGGCTAATATATAGGTTTACCTTTATTTTTATTATAGATGTTTTTGTTCTAAAATGAGAAGCTTTTATTGTTTAGCTGGTATTTTATAACTTTGATTCTAAAAAAAAGTAAATTATTCTAAAAACAAAATTTATATACTAATAATGTTTGTAATATTGAACTGGTTTTAGTGATTTCCTCCTGCTGATTCAGATTGAAAAGCAGCAGCATGAAGTCTGCGTTGTTTATTGACTCGGAGCTTCCAGGGATTATTGTCAGAGAGTGAATTTATAAACTGAGTGCTGAGTCATTGTCACCAAACCAAACGGTTCTGTTCTCTTGGTCATTTTGTGTGAGTTTAACTCCTGACAGCGTCAAAAATACAAAACAAATGTAGTTTTATATTCTGTACAGGGTCAGGTCAAACTCTCAAGACTGGATTCAGTTTATTTATTCAGCAAGTCCTCTATGAGTATTATAATGAAAAACAATAGTTCTCTAAGCTGAACCACTTTCTGGTTTTTAAACGTTTTTTAAAGGTTTTAAGCAGTTTTTTAAGTGAACTTCGGCTAATTTTTTATATAAATTTTGGGCAAATTTAAAAAAACACATTTTTTGCTTCTTTTGGAGTTACTTAATTCTAACCTCTGAATCATTCAGGCATGAAAAAGAACCAGTGTCGACACAAAGACCTTGGAAACAGAAAATGCTTTAAATTCTACCTTCAGACTTTTTCTTACTAGCATGAATAAATAAATGCTTAAGAAAGGAATGATAATCAAGTTTGGCAACCATGCCCATCTAGATAAAAATGTCCCATTAGCTAAGTCAATAACTCAGTGTCCGTGCAGAGTGTCCTCAAATATTTGAGAAAACCTGATAAAATCTGACGGACTCCACAAATCATTTCCAGTAGAACAGAATCTAGCGGTATTTAAAAAAAACTAAAAATTCTAGGTGGCAAAATTTCTGAGAGACTGGTCATCCACTGCAGTGGTCCCCAAACCAGGGGCAGAGCTAGACTTTTATTAAGGGGTGGCCAAGGTGTGTTTTAGGGGGCCACATGTGAATTGAAAAAAAGAAATTCAAGATGGCTTTCACAGCCAATTTCAAATAAGTCAGACATTATTGGAGCTACTGAACTGAAACCTGATGTTTTGTAACTCATCAAAGGGAAGACAATGTTCATAAACATCTCAGACAGAGAAAAATCCTCAACTGACAAGACAGGAGGACACAGAATATAAAGGAAACCTAATTAACTCAAAACACCAACACCTGTGAGATAATTGGGAACAGGTGAGAGTGGGAAGACCAATGGAGAAACAGAGAGGAGCAGGTAAAAACATTATGATACCTTCAGATCTTCTCTCTCCATGCACTGAGTCGTCCCAAGAATGACTGCTGAATATTAGTCAGTTTTCTGACTGATGCTACTTTTATATGTGTGGTTAAATCAGCTTTTTCAGCTTTCTGTAAATTTATGGTGGCAGTAAACAAACTCATGAAGATGATGAATGTGAGTCAGTTTAGCTGCAGGAACTTTGGCACAGTGTGGGAGGAGCAGACAGACAGCCAGGAGGAGAGCTCCTGTCATTTATTGACTCCCTTTAGGTTCAAACATTAGACGTGGAGCAACAGAGGATGTGTGTTTAGGATTTGAACAAACACAAACTGTGCTCCTGCACTCTCATCAATGAGTAAAATATGTGTGAATTTCTCAGGACTGTAATAATCCCGACATTCACAACCCTCTCTGTAAACACGCTCCCAGCATCCAGTGTGACGTTCTTTACAATCTGCATCTTGAGTCGTRAGTTTGAGTTGGCTTTACTAACTCTGCTTCCTTTTTAGGGCAAAATGAAGACTGATGACAAAAATAAAATGAACTCTCTTGAGAAGCACAACATCCGCCGAGTCTCCTTTGTAAGACTGCAGAACACTACCAGAGCGTTCCTGAATTATTTTCCTCTGCCATTGTTTCGCCTGCATCCTGGGGTTTTGTTTCACGAGTGTTTGATCTCATAGCTGGAATGATTTTATTCTGTTTTTGTTTTTTTCATCTTCCCTCCCACTCTGCAGACAGCTCCCGCAGACGAAGGAGTTCGATGGAGAACCGGATCTGAAGTGTCCATTCCAGAAGATTTCGTTGAGGCCAGCAGAAAGGTTCATCACCCCTCACTGTTTGGAAAATACCACCAAAGCCTGCAGACGCTCAAGCCCTTCCGCTGGACCTCATCACAGTCAGTTTTAATCTGAAGTTCCTGTGAATACTGAGTGATGAGCAGTTCTGTCCCTGATTATGTAATTGCCATTCTTCGTGTCTAGATCCCACCCGTTGGACAATGCCGGCTTCTTGTCCTTTACAACCTTTGCCTGGATGACCCCCATGATGTGGGCCATATTCAAGAACAAACTGGACATCTCCTCCCTCAGYCTGTCTGATTATGATGCAGCCGACACCAGTGGAGAGAGGTCAGAGTCTCTRTGGTTCCTGTTGGATGCAGTTAGAAGAAATCTTTTAGCCCACATAAAGGCTGTGTTTCTGGAAAGCCTTTGCTGTTTTAGTTTCAGCTTCTGGTTTTGAAAAGGTTGGATTTGTTGGTAAAGTATGACTCTTGGACCTGATCATCCTCATGGTGGTGTTTAACAGGCTGCAGAGACTCTGGGATGAAGAGGTGGTAGATAAAGGCCTGGAGAAAGCCTCACTGATCCGCACGTTCCTTCGTTTTCAAAGAACCAGACTCATCCTGTCAGTCATCGTCGGGATTTTCGCCATGGTGGCGATGTTCTTCGGCCCGGTGAGTCAGCAGTCACAGCTCATTCTCCTGTCGGGAAGGCCGCTCCTCGTCACATGTAACCACCGTGAACCCGTCTGATTGAAAAGCTGTGGTCGTGTGACTAGTTAAGGTTATGATGATCAGACATGGTTAACGGTTGAAGAATCACTTAAATTCAGGCTTATTCTTTTCTTCTATAAAATCTGGATCTTGCATTAACCCGTCAGTTTATTTTCTCAGTTGTTGCCCACTTCAAACAGACACGGTTTTGCAGCAAGACAAGYTGCTGCTGTGAATTTTACCTAAAACTAACTCACCTAAACAGTTCTGTCCAGAGCCATTTAGACAGTTATAGTATATTTCAGGGTGCTTTACGGGATGGGTTATTTGAAAGGAGATTATGTTGAGGCGGTGATGGTGTTCATTGTTTAATTAATTTATTGTTGGTTATAGTGTGTTTTTTGGTGTCTTCTGTGTAGTGTTTTTGTAGGTGTTTTAAGCCAGTTTATTTAAGTTTTTGGGGTTTTCAAGTGGATTTTTTTTAATGTTTGCGCTAGCTTTTACTTTTAATTTAATTAATTWATTTATTTATTATGTACTTTCATTTTAAACATGTTTGTTTATTGATTGTGTTGTTCCGTTTTGATGTTTTTTTGTGTGTGTGTCGAGCCCAGGAAGAGTCGAGACTAATGGGGACCCTAAAGAAGTAACAATAATTATTTAAAAAAAGGCAGAACGATTTATATACTGATTTATCATTCTGTTTGTGTGAAATCCTTTTAAAACCAGGATTATTTGACTTCTCTAACGCTTCATGTTGTCTATTTTTCTCAGTTGTTTCCACCTTTCAACTAAAAGAAAAGTGTGAAGTTCATTTTGTAGTTTTTTAAATGTAAAACAGAAAAGTAACGATTAACTACTGACGGTTGATGAATTAAAAGAAAAGCCCTGCAGATCTGTTAACTCCGGTTCATTTTGTTGTAAAATTGTTTTTTACAACATTGTTGTAAAAATTGTTTTTTTTTTGTGCTTTTTTTACTCCTTTAGTCAAGTCTATACAATGTTTTCTGTTGCATATTTTAAATTCAAACCTGTATCAAAATGTAAATTTGACTTCTGCCTGCTTCGTTTCCACCTGACAGATAATTAGTTTGTRATGGTTAATAATAATGAGAAACTGCAACTGAATTGTTCTTTTTGTAAAAACCTGATGAAGACCTCTTCATCTTTGTGTCTCTGTTCCKTCAGGCCATCCTGGTCTACGAGATCTTAAACTACATTGAAAACCCAGAGATGTCCACGGTGACCCACGGTGTTGGCTTGTGTTTCGCTTTGTTCACCTCCGAGTTCTGCAAAGCTTTCTTTGTATCATTGCTGTGGGCGGTCAACCTGCGCACGGCGGTCCGTCTGAAGGGAGCCTTCTCTTCCATGGCCTATCAGAAGGTCATCTCTCTGCGGGTGCACAACAGCATTTCCATGGGCGAGGTAAACCTCAGTGGCTTTAGGAAGTAAAACCCCTTTGATTTACAGCAGGTAAAATAAGTATTGAACACGTCAACATTTTTCTCAGTAAATATATTACTAGAGGTGCTAATGAC